AAGTGCAGGAAAATCAAGGCAGAAAGCTCTCCCTGCCAGTAATAAAGGCTTTGTTAATAGGAATGTGTGAGCTAGAATGCTTAGTCCTTGGTGGCAGCTGGTATGTCAGATGCCAAGTGGGCAGCTAAAGGGATATGGTACTTCCAACAGAAAATTTGGAGATAGAAAGGGGTAGATGAGAAGGAAAATGTGAAATAGATAACACAAAATTAGTTTATATTGTTTTCTGTAATTTTTAAAATTTGATATTTTTCAACAAGTGCTGTAGTATTTCAGCACATGAAATAAAGTCAAAGAGTTCCTGAAGGCACAGACTCAGTCAATGGCTGTAATCCCAGCATTTAGGAGGCTGAGGCAGGAAGATTTCAAGTTCAAGCCTAGCCTGGGCTACATAGTGAAACCTTGTTCTTTGTTGTTCTGTTTTGAAGAGAAGACCACCATCCACTCTACCCTCCTATATACAAATTGTACGTACATCTTTATAAAAATATACATATAGTAATCAGAAGCCTGAGGTTAGGAGAATCACAACTTCAAGGCCAGCATGGGCAACTTAGCAAGCTACTATCTCAAAACAAAAAGGGTTGGGAACATAGTTCAGTGATACAGCATTTGCCTAGCATGTGCAAACCCTGGTACTGGCACAAAAAAAATTTAAAACATGCATAAAAGCAGGCCGGGGATTTACCTCAATGGTGGCGGTGCTGCCTGCCTTGCAAGTGCAAGGTCCTGAGTTCAATCCCTGGTACCAGAAAAAAAAAATGCATAAAAGCACATGTATAGTAGCTTTATTTACTTACACATACATCACAGATTTTTCCCAAAATTAATTGATCCACACGCTGGGGAGTCTGGGTTTGAAGTTTGATGCTTTTCTTTCCCTTTTTCCTGTTGCATTCTCTTTTCCAAGTCTTCTCTCACATTTTCTTTCCACTCTCCCAACCACCCCCAACACATACAAAGGTGGAGAGAAGTCATTAATTCCTTTACAAACATAGGATTTCTTACATTTCGGCATTTTTTCCCCATTCAGTGTCTTCTAAAAAGCCTTCCAAGGGCCAGGGATTTAGCTCAGTGGTTTCATCACCTGCCTCGCAAGCGCAAGGTCCCAAGTTCAATCCCCAGTACTAAAAAAAAACAAAAAATAAAAAACCTTCCAAGCCAACTGATACAGATCTAATTGATTTGTCATTTCATATTCCTTTTATTTTGTTTTGTTTTGTTTTTTGGTACCGGGGATCGAACTCGGGTCCTTGCGCTTGCGCAGCAGGTGGCGTAACCCCTGAGTTAAATCCCCAGCCCTATTCCTTTTATTTTGAAAACAGCTCTTTTCTAATTTGTAAGACCTTTGTGTTATAGATATTAATTCCCATCATTCTTTTTTTTTTTTTGGTACCAGGGATCGAACTCAGGACCTTGGGCTTGGGAGGCAGGCAACGGCACCACTGAGCTCAATCCCCGGCCCTCACATTTTATTTTTGATGTGTTTTTTTGTCTACTGACTTGAATAATGCTGTTTGTATGTGGTCAAGATGTAGGTGCCACAGTATCTAGATTTCTTGCCTTGATTGAGCCACTCATTCATCAAATCTTCATGCAAAAATGTGCTTCATTTACAGCACTTTCATTTTCTTTCCTGGTTTAGGTACCTTCTCCAGCCCCTGATTGAAGACCTAGTCTCTCAGATATTCTAAGAATTTTAATGTTGATTATTTAAATCTTTATCTAGAATTAAGTTTCGGGTATGGTGTAAGGATCCAACTATTTTGAAAGTTACAGTTTTTAAATTTTAGGATCAAAGATTTCTTCTTTTGTAAGGAAGAAATCACATAACCCAAATCAGCAACCCTGAGAAGTATCCACCAGTTTTGAGCAAACTCAAAAGATTATTTTGGAACTGTGTTTGGTGGCATATGCCTGTAATCCCAGAACTCAAGAGGCTGAAGGAGGAAGTTACCATGATGAGGCCAGCCTGGACTACATAATGAGTCCAAGGCCAGCCTAAACTATATAACAAGACCCTGTCTCAAAAAAAAGGTATTTTGAAAGTATCAGCCTTACTGCTGTGTATAATGGAATACAGAACAAAGGAGGCGGTATGATAGCTACTAATCAACAAGACTCCGTGTACCAGCAAAACTTGAGACAATAATAAATCCTGAAACATTATATTCTCAAAATATAAGCAAAACCAACCTATAGGGGATAAAGTAGCCTTTTTATAAATATAATTTCTGATTAATTTATTAGATCTACTCACAGGGGCTGTATTAGCTTGCTAGGGCTACTATAATAAACTTCCAGACTACATGGCTTAAACAACAGAAATTTTCTGGAGGGTAGAAGTCTGAGATCAAGGTGCCAGCAGATTTGTTTATTCATTCATTTATTTATTAGACAGGGTTTCACTATGTAGTTCAAGCCAAACTTGAACTATGTAGCTCAGGCTGGCCTCGAACTCATGGCAATCCTCCTGCCTCAGCTTCCTTCATGCTGGGATAATAGGTTTGTGCCACCATGCCAGGTAGGACTGGTTTCTTTTGAGCCCTTTCTCATTGGTTTGCACACAGCAATTTCCTCCTTATGTCATCACATGGTCTTCCCTGTGTGTGTGCATGTGCCTGGGTCCTAATTTCATCAGTACACCAGTCATACTGGATGAGGGCCTACCCAGATGAACTCATGTTTACTTAATTACCTTTTTAAAGACCCTGATTCCAAATACAATCATATTCTAAAGTCTAGAGGTTAGAGGGCCCTGGGAATTTACCTCAGTGGAACCATACCTGCCTCACAAACACAAGGTCCTAAGTTTGATCCCCAGTACTGGAGGAAAAGAAAAAAAAAAGTCTAGAAGTTAGGACTTCAACATGAATTTTGGGAGGACACATTTCAGTCTATAATAAGGGCTAACAATTCAGGAAATATGATTTTATTTATTTTTAAAAAGCTTTGATAGGGCCGGGGATTTAGCTCAGAGGTTCCACCACCTGTCTCGAAAGCACAAGGTCCTGAGTTCGATCCCTGGTACTAAAAAAAAAAAAAGCTTTGATAAAGAGGCTGAGGGAATAACTCAGTCATAAAGCACTTGCCTAGCATCAGTAAGACCCTGGGTTCAATCCCCAGCAAACACACACACACACACACACACACACACACACACACGAACGACACACAGACTAGCTTTGTTGAGATTTCTACAAAGATTCTACTTAAAGTAATCAAGGAACTGAGATTAGTTAATGAACAAGTAAACACATTAATAGATTGATTATAATAAAGTAACAGGTTAGAGGTAAAAAACAAGAATAAAAAGAAAATAAAGCAGGAGTAGAGCTACAAAGATACTTTTCTTTTTTTTTTTTTTTTTGGTACCAGGGATTGAACTCAGGACCTTGTGCTTGCGAGGCAGGCGCCAGAACCACTGACCTAAATCCCCAACCCCAAAGATACTTTTCTACAAGTGTATATATAAATTAGTGTTAAATGCCAGGCATGGTTCAAGTCCAGCCTGCACTGCAGAGCAAGATCCTCTCTCAAAAAAAAAAAAAAATTGAAGTTAAATCTTAAATTTATAAAACATGGAAAATGCAGTAAAATACCCATGTTTACAGGTGTATTTGATTTTTTTAAAAGTAATTTCTTCCAGGGTAATGAAAAATCAAAGTATAGGAATAAAGATCATTTCAGATATTATATTTTAAAATTCTTCTAAGTAAATTCCATATGAATAAATAAACGGTATCAATAAGTCAGTCATTTGGTTTTGTTTTGGTTTTGGTTTTTTGAGGCAGGGTCTCCCCTTGTAGTTCAGGCTGGCCATGAACTCACAATGTTCCCCAGGCTGGCCTCGAACTCTTGGTGATGATCCTCCTGCCTCAGTCTCCTGAGCTCTGGGATTACAGGTGTGCGCCACCACACCTGGCTAAGTCAGTGATTCTGAATGGGGATGGAGAGTGGGGAGAAGAAAATCCCTTCCAGAGGTGAGCATACCCAAACTGGGTTGAAGCAAGGCTTTTTCAAATTTTTACTAAAACTTTGATTTTCTGTCCCACCTTCTATTCCATCCTGAAAATCACTGCTTAAGTGCAACAGTGAAAAGTGTGTTGAAAATGTCCTAATTTGGTAAGAAATTATTCAAACTACGTGCATGAAGTTGGTCTTTAAGCTATGTAATATGATGTGGGAAAGAGACTCTACTGACATTCTCTAAGGACCTTAACCCACTGTACCACTGTGACCACAGGGGCCATACAGTGTTGGATGACCTAACATTAACACTGAACCAGACACACAGAATCAAAATCTTTTGCATCAGCCCTTTGTAAAAGCCTCATAACTGGGGATGGTGGCAAACACCTGTAATCTCAGCTACATACAAAGCTGAGGCAGGAAGATCACAAGTTCCAGGTCAGTCTGCACAATGTGGCAAGATCCTGTCTCAAAAAAGGGCTGAGGATGTGGCCCAGGGGTAGTCATTGCCCAGCATGAGCACAGCCCTAGGGAAAAAAAAAAATAAAAACGCACCACAGAAATCTGAAACTCATTCCCCACAATTAAAAACCAGTAGTATAACCTGGGAGTGGTGGCACACGGCTATCATCCCAAGTACTCTGGAAAGCCGAGGCAGGAGCACTGCAAGTTTGTACTTAGCCTGGACATCTTAATGCCTTAGTGAGTCTGTCTCAAAATTTAAAAAAAGGAGCTGGGAATGTAGTTTAGTGCGAAGGCCTTAGGCTAAAGCCCCAGTACCACACACACACACACACACACACACACACACACACACACACACAAAATGGATACTGAGATACTGATGGATCTAAGCGTCAGATCTATATTCTAATCTAACGCTCTTAACTATTTTGGAAACTGTTAATTCCTACTTTTAGTATTCAGGGTTTTTCTCTAATATGCATGTCTGATCACTACAACTTTTTAAAAAATGTAATAAAGCTATGAAAATGTCTAAAGAGAAACAAATGAGAAAAAACAAAGGATACATTCTCCTTATTTATTTACACCCCAACTTTATTCCAAAAAGGCTTACAGAGATGCAGATAATATAAAATATAAACAAGATTAAAACAGAAAAAGTAAAATAAAGGTATAAAAGGAAGATGGAACCAAGAATATGATGGGCATATAAAATACATAAACATTTGCTGGAAGTGAGCCACAAACTGGGCTCCAAATGATATAGCATTAGTACAAGGAGAAAGATATAAATCAGTTGAATATTTTGTGTCTAAGGTAAAAACCAAACAGCAGTTTAGGAAAAGCACAACTAGGTTCAGAGAAAATTTCTCTCATTCATCCTAAATTCAACAGTATAAACTTAATGATAAACATCTTTTAAAAAAAATCAAGTTTCATAGATATTCATATGGATTGCCAAAGTACAATCAAGAAAAATTAATTCTGCAGAGACCAATAAAAATGTCAGCTTATAATATATAAAGGGAAAATCTGGCTTAATCTAAAGACAATAATAAACTGATATATACAGGATACTCCCCAGACTCTCTTGGTCTGGGAAGAGAGACGTTCAGATATGTATTCAGATATAACTGAAGATTAATATGGTCTAGATTAAAATGTATTTTTCCCTCAAATACCACAAAAAAATGAAACTTTTGAAATGTTAAAGAAAATGAAAGTTGGGGCTGGGGATTTAGCTCAGTGGTTCCACCACCTGCGTCGAAAGCACAAGGACCCAAGTTTGATCCCAGGTACCAAAAAAAAAAAAAGAAAATGAAAGTCATAAAGACAAGAAATTTGCATAAATTCATGGTCCAGATAATTTTCCTTACAAAAGGAAAAAGTTCTTAAAATACAGCTCTAACCTTAAATCTTAAGGTTAATCTCTCAATCTGATTTACCCAACTAAAAAACTGAATCCTGGGATGTCTAGAAATGGTCGGATTTAAAAATTCTTGTCTTTGCCAGGTATGGTGGTGCACGCCTGTAATCCCAGCACTCCAGAGGCTGAAGCAGGTGGACTGCTGTGAGTTCAAGGCCAGCCTAGGCTACATAGTGAGTTCAAGGGCAGCCTGAATTACATAGTGAAACCTTGTCTCAAAGAAAAAAAATTCTCGTCTTCTGAGATTGCATTTTAGAAAAGATTTAGATACTATTCCATTTATCCCTAGAGAAGATCTTTTATCCACTGATGTTCCCACTTCTTTTTTCTTCCTCATATTTGACTATTAAATTCACTTTCCAATTTTTAAAAAATTAGGTTTATTTTAGTCTATTCTCAGGCCTCCAGATCTTATTTTTGGGGTGTATATTTATTTAGGTGTTGAAATGCCAGCTTTTGATACCTCTGGATGGTTCTATTTGTTTATTTTTTAAATTATTAATTTTTTTTTTTTTTTGAGACAGGGTCTTGCTTTGTAATGCAGGCTGGCCTTAAACTCACTATGTAGCCCAGGCTGGCCTCCAACTCACAGTGATCCTCCTGCATCCACCTCCCAAGTGCTGGGATTACAGGTGTGCACCACCATGCCCAGCTTGAGACCTGTGAAAAATAATCACATTGTTTATGACCAGCCTTTTAAACATATAAATAGCACCTTGGGAATCTATGATGTATCATTACTGCCCAAGAGAGGAAACACGGCAGAGAAACAACAGAGGCAAAAGAGGAAAAAGCCTTTGGGTAACGGCTTGAGGGTAAGAGCACTAGAAAAGCGAAGCAAAGGAAAAGGTTACTAGCCTGGTTTGAGATGGTGAATTTTGAGAAGTGAGCTGTATGATGGGGAAGGGCTACATTCAGTTGTGGCTCTCAGTAGTAGAATGCTCAAAAACTGAACTCTGGTCCAACACCTAGAAGAACAGAATGGTAAGGGGCTACAAAATAAAAACTAGACAATCAAGGTGGTCATACTGAGTTGGTGGCAAAGGAGATCCTCAGGATCCCAGATCAGCCCCAATCTACAATAGAGGGTCAAGCAGGGATGGAGTGGACAAGGAAGGTTTCCAGATCACAGTCAAAGTCTTTGAAGGGCATGGACTCCAATGGACTGGGCAGGGTATCTTGTGTCTCCATGACAAAGTTCACTGGCTGCTTCTGTAGGAGCTCTGGGTCAAAGGCCACACCCCAAAAGAAAGGGTGGACCTGGAAGTGATGTAGATATCACAGACGGTGGAGGGGATTCTGGCACAAGAGCTGAAGGGAAATAGGTTATGAAGGATGAGGGACTGAGACAGGAAAGAGGCTAAACAAAGAAGATGGAAAAGAAGAAGTTCAGGGAGCTGTTGAGGGCAGAAAAAAAAAAAGGATTTATAAACAGAATAATTTGAGGCAAATGTGGCAATAAAGGTGCTGTATTTATAAGTTTCCTGGTTGTGCAGCACTGGTCCACTCTCTCAGGAAGGACCTTTATCTTCCAGATGGGGAGGAGATTTGAGAGATCCAGAACTCAGGAATGAAATCCAAATTACATAGAGGGCAAAAAGGTGGTTAACCCAGAGCATCCCACCAATATCCCCCTCCAAAAAATTAATCAGAGGAATAGAGAAATATCACTTCAATGATAAGGGAAAGATAAAATAGTCTGGCAGTCAAGAAGGAAAGTAGTGCTCACCCTTACCTCCTGAAGCAGGAGTGAGAACTCCCTTTTAAGAGAAGCTGGGATCTCAGAGTCACAGTGAGTCACACTTGCCAACATGGCCACATGATCTCTCTCTGCAGCCACTGGAAACTGAGTTAAGAAAGAAAATGGCAAGATTTCCTAATGTCTTCCTTCCCACCACAGGACAAAGCTCTCTTCTTTGCCTAACAGCACTAACATTTTCTCACCTTTCCAGTTGCCAGAGAGAAAAGCAAGACACCCAGGGACCACCAATCAGCAGCATGGTTGTAAGGTCCACCACTTAAGACCTCGGGGGCTATGGATTTGAAAGATCCTTGTCACTGACATCCTTTGACTATCCTCCAACCCAATGTATACCCACCAGTATAGCTTCTCTCTCACCCATGTATTGAAGAGTACCACAGATAGTATAGGCTCGGGCTCCCTGGGGCAGGTGGCGGGACAGGCCAAAGTCTGTCAGTTTCAGATGGCCTATAAAAGAAGATATGGCAATGGTACCACTCCCATTCCACCTTTATTAGCCATGATTTATTCCCAAACCAAAGTACCTCTCATTCTGGTGCTATGAAAAATAAGACTTGGGTCAGGGATTTAGCTCAGTGGTTCCACCGCCTGCCTCACAAGTCCAAGGACCTGAGTTCAATCCCTGGTACAAAAAGAAAAAAGAAAAATAAGATTTACCTCGTTCATCCAGAAGAATATTCTCCATCTGAAAGATCACCGGTAAGTAGTTATTTTCTTCCTCTTCCTTTCAACTTTCATCATGTGTATCCCCCAACTGAAGAATGTGCCCTACTCAGCATTTGAATCTATACTTGGAGGGCCTTATCTAAATCCCTAGCACCCACTGGGGCCCTAAGATCAACTGTTCTCAGCTTCTGCCTGCCTTTTTGGACCTGTTCAAACTTGTTGTTGAGGCCCCTCCTCAGACTAAGGGAAAAAGCACTTTACCTTCACATCTCGATGGATGATGCCCAAGTCATAGAGTGTACTGAAGCTCTCTTCTTCTTTCCATTTTGGTAGCTACCCTCCCATCCCTATCCCTATCCCTTGACTTCCACAATTACTACCAATTCTCTTCTATCCTTCCCACCAACTTGATTTTTCCCTCCCCATTTCCTTTACTGCCCTTTGACTTACACAGCACAAGGACCAGCTCAGCTGCAAAGAGACGGACCGAGGCCTCAGGAAAGCAGCCAACAGCAGACCACAGGGAGTACAGATCTGTGCTGCAGTAGTTACACACTGCAAAGCACCAGAAATGTAGGCAATGTGTGGGGACTACAATGACTGAGCTCAAGGCCCAAATTGATGCCACTTGCTGTTTCCTCTCCCTTTGGGATAGAGAGGTGCTATGAGAGGAGAAACAGAGCAAAGGCAGAATAATCCCAGAAGTAAGTAACCTCAGGTCAAGAGAATGGTAAATGGACCCTTGAGGAAGAAGAGAAAAGCCAGTCACTCACTAATAAAGAGGTGCCGTTTTCCCTGCCAGGTATCTCCCAAGCTGTGTACAAAAGGATGGTTGACTTGCCGCTAGGCACAAAGAAAACAGGAAGTTAGAACAAGGTCACTGAGAATAAAGGCAGCAAAAAAATCAGGTTTCCCCTAGTTGTGAAAAAATGGAGCTGGTGCTTCAACTCTGGTTTCAGAGGAACTCACTAATTGGTACTGCCTATCTGGCAGTCTTGGAACCAGCTTAATACTAACACACTGGGACATGTGTTGGAGAGATTTCCCTGACAGGATATTACAAATAACTATTGATAACAGATACTTTTCTAAGGATCTACTTTGGTGTTGAACTAAGGCTGAAGCAGAAGGCAAGGGCAAAACCAGGAAAAGGAAAACCAAGAAACCTGCATTTGAAATTCGCTCTCCCTAGCTGTGGTTTAGTTCTTCCCACCATTCTTTCCAGAAATCTGTGCATACCTGGATGCTAACTTCCTCTTTGCACTGCCTCAGGGTGTCCTTCTATAGGACTTCTATCTTGGATACCACCTATAAAGAGAAACAATGCTTCAAAGGGAAATAGTGCTATTGAACTGTTTAATCCTCCTAGCTTCTGAGGAGTTCTCTTGGAACTAGGAACTAGGGAGTAATGTGGATGAGTACATAGACTCCTACCTTCACTGCAAATATAGCTTTCTGGGCACAATCTAGCACCTTCAGGACAGTTCCAAAAGACCCTTTACCCACAAGGCCTAAAATCTGCATTGAGAAAATGGAGAACAGGGCAATTAAGACTGGTTGTTCCTGGATTTCTTGCAAAGACAGCCCTCCCAGGGATTCCATTAACCTACCTTCAGCTGCTGCTGCCCCCTAATGGGCCTCATGGGAAACTCTGGTAGAAAGAGGTTGATGAACTGAGGTACAGGCCACTCAGAGAGAGGCTTCTCTACAGTCTCCTGGTGCTGGCACTGATGCCTGTGTGGTCCCCACAGTTCTTCCAGACCTGACCTCATGGTCCCCACACCTGACCAGAGGCTCTTCAAGCCTTGGACCCAGGGGACCCGGATGTTGCCACCCTGAGAAGCAAGGAAGCCACTCTAAACCTACTCCTGAAGCAATGTTGGTTATACATCTTAGTAGGTACTCCCATCCCTCACGTCTCATCCACTGAAGGTACATTTTTGAGTACCAGGCAAAATTCCCACTAGCCTTGCTTTGTGATAAGACCTGGATCTCCTGGACATAATCCAAATCCTCTAGGAAAGCAATTACTGGACACTTTCTCCATAATGTACGAAGAATACAACCAGTGCCTCAGAATAGTGTTGCAATGGTTTCAAATTTTATGCCTTCTCCACCACCCCCTCCCCCAAACTGGGCATCACCGACAGCTCCTAACCAGTTACTTTTCAAGCCCCAGGCTTATGCCTCCTTCACTTTCCCTCAATAGGCTGTTAAGAGCCCCACAGCCTACCTTATGAGGAGCAGCCACCTGGCTATGTTGCCCCTGCCGACAGCTCACTGCTCCCATCCTCTGTCTTCTGTCTGCCTCTGTGCTTCCACTAAATCTGCTGTATCCCAGTTACATAAGCGACGCTGCATTACACATAAGCCCCACCTCTTCCAGTGTGTACAGAAACATCAGCTTTGGGCCAGTGTCTTACTAGGGCAGGACAGTATCTGTGATATAGTTTCAAGGCATGGGAAGAAGGCACCCTCAGTAAGAGTTACGAGTAGCAGTTACAACGGGCCAGGGATTTAGCTCAGTGGTTTCACTGTCTGCTGCGCAAGCGCAAGGACCCGAGTTCAATCCCCAGTACCAAAAAAAGAGTAGCAGTTACAGGCTATATGAAGTTGATGGGGTTGGGAAGGACACAGACAGGTTGAACACATGTACTCAGAAAAAAAAAACATCAAATTTAAAATATTTTTTTTCTTTAAATCATATATATATTTTTTTTCCATTCTCCAGGGCACACCCCAGGGGGAACAGTAGGGGACCCATGGCCAGCCCTGGTTCCTATTGCTATCCTCCCAAGTAGGCATACAGACTGGGAAGAAGCTAATTCCCCAGAACAATAAACTTTCATACAAGGCAGTGGAATGAGGGAAAGAGGATCAGTCCCCTCCCCTCAGCTTCCTGGCACAAAGGGAGAACAGTTACACTTAGAAATATATATATGTATATGTTTTATATATATATATATATATATATATATATGTATTTATAAAAATTTGTCACACTTGATCAGAACTATCCCCCCACCCTATCAGCAGACCCCAAGGGAACAGGATCCCAACCCTGGAACCATTCCCTGGGTCATACTCTCAATGCTGCTCTGGCCTTGGGCCTTATTAGCACGAGATGAAACTCAGCATTACTGTCCACCATGCTCTGCAGGGAACAGGCCAGCTGCTAACAGCAGTGCCTCATTCCATATTACCTGTGAGCTCCAAACCCCCACAAATCCTGATGGATAAAAGGAAGCTCCCCCCACTCCACAAGTCCCTAGGGCCTGATCCAGAGTCAGATCCTGTACTGCAGCCACTCAACAATTGCCAGATCACTTGCGCCTGCCAAAGATGGACTTCTTGCCAGGGTTCTTGTCACCCACACTCAAACCGATGAGTAGCCGAGCTTTCTCCTCTTCTTCCTGCTGTTGCATGTTCAAGTCTGATTTAGTTTCTAGCTTTCCCCGGACCTCAGACCCTGCTGCAGGCTTTAGCCTTAGCTTTTCTTTGATTACCTGGCAGGATGGAGAAGAGTAACAGTATTAGTGGGGCAGGTAGAATACATAAAAGTGAACCAAGTGAACAGAGATTTATTAAACTTACATGCAAGGCATAATGGGGCAATTCAAATTATAAAATGGTCTCTGCTTTGAAGAAGCTCACAGTCTAATTAGAACCTATTCTAATCCTAAGGTGGTAGCAGCACTAATTAGTTCTCTAAAGTTAGTGGTAGTTATCATGAAACATTAGTAAATATTCAATTTAGTAATCTGGCAGTCGTGGAAAAGGCAGGGAACAGAAGTCACTCACTTCATTTACCTGCCACTTTCCACGGCTATCTGTTAATATTTAACAGAACAAAAGGCCCTCCTGAGTAGAGGATCTGCTTGCCAGCCCTTGCTAACCAAACAGCCATGATCCCTAGTGGGATACCTGGGCAACCAGGGCTTTGCGGCTATCTCTTTTGACAGCCATAGCAAAGTCTAGCCATGTCCATGTGTTGTTGTGGTACTCCAAGCAGGGCAGCACCAGATTAAGGTCACCCCAGTCCACACTGTTCTTTTCACCCTGTAAGAGAAGGAAAAAAAAAATATATCAACTACCACTTTGAGTCTAAACCAGTACCTGAGTATAAAGTCCTAAAACAGCAACCTATTCTGATTTTCCCTTAATTCAATCTAGTAATGGCTCACTTCTCCAGAGAGCAGAAGGAACAGATTTGTCACCCATAGCCCAGCTTTACAAGAAGCTTGGCTATCTCCCTAGCTATAACCTTTGCTGATCTTATCTGCTTCCTTTCCTACCCTGTTCTACAAAATGCTGGGGAGATGCAGACCTTATAGCTGACACACAGTGGAACCTGTGGAATCTTTATGTAGATGAAGGAGTTGTTCATGGCAGCTCGCTCTTTCATCTTGTCAATATCATCCACAGGGTGCTAGGAAGGCATAAAAGTGGCATGAGCCCCTGAAACTATCAAACAAAGCTTAGTGTCCCCCCCAACCTTTAACTCTAGAGTACTCATAAGAAACTGAAATTCCATCCAGCCTCAACCTCAAGATTCTCCCATTTTTCTATCATCAGAAGCATTTGTGATACCTCAGGTGATTTGCGAAATGATCTTCTGACCCCAGAACTCCTAGTCAAGCCCTGTGCAACACCTTTCCCAGGTCCCAGGGCTATGGTATCATCTGTTGTAATCAGCTGCCGAGGCTTCACCACTGGTATTCCTATGAAAAAGCAAGAGCACCTCTGAAGCTTCAGTTGTCTCTGGGGCTACCACCCCATCTTCTGGAACCCTATTAGAAAAGTTCTCACCAGTAGTCACCAGTTTGGACTTATCCTCTTCATCACCAACTTCATCATCTTCCACACTTCGGCCAGGAAAAAAAAACCCCATCATTCTATGGAAGAACTGATGTGTCAGCTGGATGGTGAGAGGAACCACATTTACCTAAATGTGGAAAAAGGTTGTAGAAGCAATTATGTTCAGACACTATGCCTCAGTTTTCTACTCCTATTTGGCATTTACACATAGCTAACTTTGGGCTGTCCTTTGTTCCTGGGTTCCCAAGGGACTGTTCACTAACCTCAAAGTGTTCCTTAACAGAGATACCCCCAACAGGGGGCCGGACTTTGCTGAAGAGGCGAAGGGCTAGCTGTCGTCCAGACTGGCAGGAGCTTTGGGGCCGCAGGACTACCTGTAGGATAGAGTAAATAAGAGCCCGACCAAATGTTCTCCCTATCATAAATCAACCCAGAAATCCTCTGCAGAATAAAAGGAAAAGCCATGATCTTGGTAAGATAGGCAAGCTTCCATCTCAGATCACATTTCCTATAGTGGGCTTATACGGAAGGGCCAATTTTAAATGTATGCTAAGAAGCATAAGAAAGGGAAAATAAGACTTGCCTTATAGGGTTGGGGGTGGAGCTCAGTGGGTAGAGTATCTGTCTAGCATGCACAATGCCCTTGATTCAGTCCCCAGCACCACAAAAAGCAAAAAAAGAGAAAAAAGACTTGCCTTATAGACAGCATTGGGGAGGAGGTTGTTCATAGTAAACCAGCCCAACTCCAGAAGATGTTCTGCTGTGTCATCGGACTTATTCACCTATAAAGACAGACACACACTCCCCATCACTATAATAAGCCTTTTCAGAAGCCTGCCAGAAAATCGCTACATATCCTGTTTGTTTACAGGTTCACCATATGCTAATCACAAACTGTTATCTCTTTCAGTCTCATACAATCAAAATACCCTCTATCCCAAGTGTTTCTCATGGGTACTAAATGCTAGTGGTAATTCCAGTTATTCTACATTAAAAAATATCCCTCTCTCCCTCCTTCTGTCTCAGACAGAAGCTATCTCTCAATAAATTTTTCCTACTCTTAAAAAAAAAAATCCTCATTCATTAACTTGTCAGAAAGTTAAATGTCCTTTTTCCATTATCAGTGGGTAATTGTGGGAAAGCTGAATGTCAGTGTTAGAATGGCTCTATTCTGGGCTGCGGATTTAGCTTAGTGGTTCCGGCGCTTACCTCGAAAGCACAAGGTCCCGAGTTCAATCCCCAGTACCAAAAAAAAAAAAAAAGAAGAATGGCTCTATTCTAAGGTGGACTTGGAAAATTACTTCCCTCTAGAAGTTACTTCTAGGGGGCCAGGGGTTTAGCTCAGCAGCATTCTATTCCTCGTAACAAAAACAAAAACAAAACAACAAAAGAAATTAATTCTAGGAACAATCTTTTTTTTTGGTACCAGGGATCGAACTCAGGATCTTGCCCTTGCAAAGCAGGCAACGGAACCACTGAACTAAATCCTTGGCCCTAGGAATAATCTTTTTTTTGTTGTTGTTGTTTCTAGGAATAATCTTAATGGAAGAAGCATTTGATCAAACTCACCTGCACCTATATTGTTAAACATTACAAACATTTGTCTAAAGGAGTTCTACTAATGTTTTAATTATGGCCATCATTAATAATTGTTATGGTTCATATCTAGAGTCTTCCAAGAGCTTCATGTGCTCACAGACTGGGCTTCTGGAAGGTGACTGGATTATGGGGACACTACAGCTGACACTGTTTGGAGGTGGGGTCTGGTAAGGGGAGGAAGGTTAGTGAGGCCATGACTTGAAAGGGTGTTATCTCTCTCTCTAGCTTAGTCCTTTGCTCTCTGATTCCAGACCACTGTGATGTGAGTAGCCTACTCCTAGACCGTTCCACCATGTGGTTTCTATATTTGAGCCTGCTGAACAGAGTGACACTTCTAAAACGCAAGCCAAAACAATCCTCTGCTCCTTTAAGTTGTGGGCGTTGTGTATTATCTCTTAGTGACAAGAAAGTGCTTAAGACAATAATCATGTATAATTAGCCCCCTTTTTTCTCTGTTAGATTTCTGAGATAGGTCAATGCCCCAACATAGCTGTTTTTGTGCAACTATCTATCCCAGATACCTTGCTATAGAGAAACCTCTGCAGCTCCAGTTCAGCAATTCCTAGCTGTCCGTCTTCCTCTGTCAGGCGCCACCGAGCCTGAGCAAAGTAGAATTCAGTGCGACGGACCACACTCACATCTTCTTGCTGCTTTCGCAGCTCCATCTTGTTGGCCCGCTGCAGTTGGAAATCCTTAAAACACCTTTAAGTGGACAGAAGAGCCAAAGCCAGTAAGGGAAACAGCATGTAAACTGGGAGCAGGATGAGATGTTCTAGAATGATGAAGGTGGCAAACTTAGGGATGAACCTATTCTGGATTAGCCAATCCTTATATATATATATATATATATGTATTTTCTTTTTTTTTAAATCAATTTACTAACATTGAACTGTGGGACACAAATTTCATCTTTCAGCTCTACAGCTTCATGATAAAGTAGTCTCTTCCCACTAATAACCCCTATTTTTGTATCTGCATTTGTGTTGCTTCCTTATCAACTTTCAGATACTCAGTTCAGACGTACAAGGCCACAAGTGATTTTTCCCAACTACCTATTTTTCTTGCAGCAGAGCCTTTCCCAG